CTTCCTAAAACCAATGACTGTTTACCGTGTTCTTGTTGGTACTTGTAAATGTTGGTGATAAATGAGGTGAAATGGTAGCGTAGTGATTTGTTCCAATATCATTTAATTTTTTTCTGCACTTCACGGGTAGTGAGCAAAAGAAGTCGTAGCCAACAATAACAGGTATACTGTTAACCACCAATAGTTTATAGAGTTTAGAAACAGATATCGCATCGAGAAAACTACTTACTTTGCAGAAAATTTCCAGCGGTAGAAGTACAGATTATTTTTTAATTACTTGACGCAAAATGTAGGTTAAAAACACAAGAATAGCTTTACGACTGTAGTGTCATAATTGTAAAAGTTCAATTCTCGACAAAAAGTGATAAACCAGATTTTTTTTTCTGAATATTTTCCCTTTACCAATTGCTTTTTGGCGATTAATACTGGTGTGCAAAAACGTTTGTAATTGTATGTAAATTTACGGTTACATGCGGTTTCTTATTCTGCGAGGGTTCAGCTCATCTTTTTTCGAAATGTTACTGGTTTCATCTGTAGCAATATATTGGAAAGATTTGAAATTAAACTCAGATAAAACTGATCTAAATATGAGAAAACCCTATAAAATTTTTTTGGAAGAATTAAAAATTATCAAACAACAATCATCACGTCCACATATTTTTTCCGCAGCGATGACATGACTTCACCTCAGCATACATTCTACCTGAGTCAAACGAGAGTCTTCACAGCTTTTTTCTTGCAGTCTTACCTCTTGATTCTTATACAGAACTCTTGCATCAAGAAATTGCAGAACCTCCTAACCTTCCTTTACAATTCTCAAGAGGTCTAAAAGATTGGATTGAAGAAAATTACTAATACTGAAGTTAAGGGGCGTTCAGCTTTTACATCTCAGGTTAACCTGTAACGTGACGCACATATACCAAGTATTTCAGAGAATTTTGAGTAATTTTAAAATGGCGCATTATACAGAGGCCATACAGTGCCTTATGATCACAAACTACGAAAGCAATTAGTCCTCAAGCACAGTTAGTAATTTTCTAATAGGAATCAGCATGAGCTTGAACCTGAAGTTAAGTTAACTCATGCTGAATAATCGCAAACCAAAGCGCCCACACGGTAAAACAGATTCTCCGATTCGTAAGTCGTTGACAAAATAGAAGTGTTACTTAGATTCCGAGATAATGAAAAGAAAACCATCAAAGTAGTTTCAAAAAAATCCACGCAGCTTTCAACTAGGTCTTCTAAGCTTTTTGGAATTAATCCTCCTAAGGTATTTCTGTTAATGGTTTATTAATCGGCAGACAAATTCACAGCTTAACTGTTAAAACTATGCAGATAAATTATTTGCGTCATATGCAAATTAAGAAAATTATTATTCTGTTAAAAGAACGTGTATTTTCCACCGTATACGTATGCTTCTACCTGCTCCTTAAAAGTTTAAATTTTTTTGTTATACTGCGCTTAATGCAGGATGTCATCTTAGATTTGTTCAGTCTCAGCCGACCTAAAAAATAGTGTAAAAATCGTTCGAATATTGTTTTTAGTCCCTAAGGGTTTGATTACTCATTTAATATTTCAGATTATTCTCAAGTCACAGAGCAAAATTTGCAACCCTATCAGTAAAAAAAAAAGGTACTAAAATCATATTTATAAGTTATTAATAAGCCGACACTTACTGTTCCTGTAGAACAGAAAAACAAGTGGGAAATGATGGCTGATTTTCTAAACGCTTATTTTTCCAGTTAAACAGACGGACATCCCTGCCAAAACAGATCTTTCCAGCAGTCAGCGTCCATTTAGTCTACAATGATTATTTGCTACAGGTTAAAGGTTGCCTCAGCTCAAGCTACAAATGCTAGAAGCCTCCTGCAAGCAAAATGAAACTGCCGATCAACGCATTGGCCTCAGAGTACGGCTGCCAATGTTTGGACATCAAAAAGGTTTGTAGGCCACTCGGGCGCTGTTGTGTTACATGTAATCCTCCCAGGTGCGTTGTCGTCCTGTCTATGCTTCCATTAAGATGACATTTCATCGGGAGCAAGGAATGCATTTAGAAAGATCAGAGCCGACACGTCTAACGTTGTCCGTTTTTTTCCTAGTTTACACGTGGAGAACTGTTGTTGGTATTTATCGTTAATGTCTTTTTTTTTTTGTTGCAATAAATTAAAAGTCGAAATAATCAGCATTGGTCGGTAATCTGTTGCTCTCTTGCTCTATAGTCATGTAACTTTAATGTTAGTGAGATAAATGCGAAATTTTTCAAACAGAATAGAAGCTGAAGAGTTTGACTACCGCAGCCTGGAGTGCTTAATGATTTGAATATTATTAATATTATCACTGCCATTTGTTATATTATCTTGGCGTTTCAAAAGAAGAAAACTGTTTGTTGTCAAGTGTGTTTTTCCATAAGCGTTTTAACATACAGATAAGAGCGTAAATAGTGTCCCTTAAAAAAGCAAAGCCAAAGAATGATTTTTTCTTTTGGCGTATGGTAACTACTTGATTTACTCAGCGCTGGCTATTGTTAAAAAAACTGCCAAATTAGAGGTCGTGTCATTTCAATGCGTCCGCTCGAGGAAAACATTCTATTAAAGAAATAAATGCTTTGCTTTCGTTTTTCACTCGGTCACAGTCTATTTTTGACAGTGGCCTCAACTCTTGTCCCTGATGACCACCTACTGCTATTATGGAAAGTAAGTAGTTGATTAGCACAGTTGTACGTTAGGATAACTAGTGGTGTGTCTGCGATTGTTAGTCGTGGCGGAAATAGCAGTTTGAGACTTACGGCAAGGAAGAAACCCATTTATGAAGCTGAATCAATATTTTATCTAGAAGCACTGGTAAATCACAAAACCGCTTTCTAAAGACAAACCAGGTTTTCAGATTTATTGTTCTTATAGCAACAGAATATGAACTCCGATGCAACAAAGCCATGGAGTCCTCAAGGAGCTAACACAGTTCAAGTATGAAATATGGTGTTTGTTACATCGTGCATATGTCATTGATACACATGTCAAAGTAACACGTAAGGCGTTAAGTTTGGATAAGATGCGCCTGTTAAACGGCTTCTAATTGTGACAGAAATTGGAAGTCCTGGAACAGATTCTAACGCTTCTTTGTGAAACTTGTGCATCATCGTATTTTGCCTAGCCAATTGCTATTATTAACAACCATCTAATAACGATTTGGCAGACTATGACTGCGTCTGCCGGCCAGTGAATCCCGTGAAGATTTGCGAACACATCGAATCTTAAAAGTCATACCTCACTTTGGTAGACCAGCTTTGGTTCACCACGCATTATGATTTACCCAGCAGTTTTTAAGATTGACAGTAGACGGGTTATCGTCATATGCGGTCGCCATTGCTTCCAGTAGTGCATAGGCGAATGGCGGATTTTAGCGAATCGGACACCGCTAAAATTGCGCAGTTACGTTTTATCAGAAGTTGCCTCGTTTTGCTTGGACGCAAAAGTTGGGATAACTGCTTTTTGGGCAAAATAATTGTCTTGGGTTTATCCGCAGCGGTACTTTTGACCATTTTTTGGTCGGTGTGTTTCGTAGTTGCTGAAGTTCGGTGATGTTTATAGTAATGAAAGCAGGACGGGAAGTGGATAGAGCAAAATGCATTACCGTTATAGGGAGCATGAATTATTTTCTTCATGATATGTGTCTTGCTGCCGAACAGTGGCCAATTTTTTCTTTCTTGTTTTGTTTGTTAGATAGGTACTGCGGTCAAGCATTGTGGTGCTTGAGTTGTCCGAATATATCTTTCAGCGTCCTCATTACTGTTTTGATGTTGTGTCCGTTCTCTCCGGTTCTTGTTTTTTTTTTTTTTTTTT